TTTTGATCTAATTGATAACGTTGTTAGTGCTTTTGACGAAAAATTGATCACTAAATTAGTTGAGATTTATTTACTGAGTTGAATAAACTTATAAATTTAACCCTAAAATTATGACACATGCTACTTATGTTCATATTTCTCATTAAAAAATGTTAACAGTTATGTTAAATTGAAACAATTATAAATTTAATGTCAAAATCGAGTCAATTAAAATTATAATGACCAAAATAACGTAGAAACCAAAATGCATGGGCTGATGTAATTTGTCCTACTTTTAAGTATAATCCATGAAAATAGTAAATTTATTTGATTTCAATTTTAATTTTTTTTGTTGTTGTTATAAATTCAATTTTTTTTTGTTGTTGTTTAATTTCAATATATTTTTTTATTCTTTGTTGAAAAACCATGCATATTTATGCTAGCATTATACATCTATATTCATTCTAGGAATTTTTATTGATAAATCCCTTTTAGAAGTGCTCTAACTCAAGAATTTCATAAAGAAATTTTTTAACCCACTTAGTCCCATGTATTTATACTTTTATTCCATAAAGTCTTTTTTCTTAATTTACACTATTTTCTTAGACTCTTGTGCCCTTATATTTAATATTGATATTCAATGTTGGGGGAGGAGAGAGAAGGGAAAGGACCAAGGCATAGGAAATTTCATATACAAATTAAATAACACTGATGTTATTATTTTATATTATTATACAATGTGAATATATTTTTAATTGACAACACATTAAAAATAATGTGAACATTCTCTCTCATCTAATGTGAATGTATTTTTAATTGACAACACGTTAAAAATAATGTGAACATTATCTCTCATCTGATGTGAACATTTACAACAACTTTTCAAAAAATTCTCTCTTATCTAATGTAGTGATGTGAACGTTCACAACATGTGCACATTTTTATTTTTAATTGACAACACTTTAAAAATAACATTCATTATATTTTTAATTGACAATATATTTTTATTCCTAACATATAGTGATGTGAACGTTCACAACATGTGAACATTTTCTCTCATCTAATGTAGCGATGTGAATGTTCACATTCGTATGTTTTAGTATGGATATTCACATCATGTAATTGACAACACAATGACAAAAATTCATTTGAAATTAATGTGAATATAATGATGTGAATATTCATTTCAATTACATGATGTGATTCACATCATGTAATTGACAATACAATGACAAAAATTCATTTCAAATTAATATGAATATTGTAACCCCCCCACCCCCCTCCAAAACCCCAAAAAAAAAAAAAATACAACACAATGAAAGTGCATCAATCTCTACACCTCACAATAACAGAAGTAGTTTTCCCCCAACATTTAAATACATAGTCATAAAGTGTTTACGAAAGTAATTCCACATGTGAATATACATTCAATGACCTCAATACACGAATCTATAGCATGTAAAACATCTAATCAAAATAAATAAACGCCCTTAAGGGCTACAAAGTCCAAGGCTTAAGTCCGGTTACACAAAATGCTCTCTCGAACCCATACAAGTATAGCCCTTGGCTTACAAAAATACAACCACAACCAAAACAAGAGCCTCGTGCTCTCACATGCATATCCACGCCCTCGGTTAGGCGGTATCACTACATCTTTTCCTTCACAAAGTCCCATAGGGTAAGCATAAAGCCCAGTAAGAAATTCTTAATAAAGTATATATATTTTATGTAAGTCTTAAATGATGAAATGCACATGCCATGCTATACTTTTGAAAGAAAATCACATTTTCATCTTTTGGAAACCATCATGCTCAATGAAAATTTGAAGTTTCAATAATCCAATAAATTATCAAATTAGTTTAAGAGGCGGTAAATACGATTCAGGTAATCCCTAGGTTGGTGTCTGCAAGTAGGCATAACTAGTACTATCAAATCCCCACTTTACCGGTAGCTAACCGGAAGGCACTTGAAACCTCATCCGTGTGTGTTTTCAGTCTTTTACTCTGGACATTCAGGCCAACTTAATCGATTTCATCTACACCTCCTATCCGGACTTACCAACATATTTACCTCAAAACATTTCAATAAAATCTTATTTTACAACGTTCCCTTTTCAATGCAAAGTTTCAAATCCCAATTCAATAATTGTAATAATCAAAAGTATTGAAATGCCAATGCAACAATTATCAATGCCATGAAACACGCTTTCCATTTTCAATTATTCCCTGCAATATTCCCATAGAAATCACAACACTCATTTCTCTTTCCAATGACATTCCTCATGATAGCCATATGTTCATTTAAATCCTTCAATGAATAATCAACAATCTCACATTTCATGCATTCTTAACAATTTAATCATTTCACAACCACATCAACATTTTGAGCAACAACTTTCCAAAATCAACAATTCTCACACTCATTTCTCAACGTAGTAGCCAAACCCAAAAATCCCTCCCTCATTACACGTGCGACTTCCCTTCCTGCACGTGCGGCTCTCGCCCCGCACGTACGGCCCTGCTTCTAGACAGAGAATTCAGTAACTCTACCCATGACACCACGGATCCAACCTCGTACCTCCCGAAGCAAGTGAAACTCGGATTCGAAATAATTAAGAACGAGAATATTGAAAGCAAGTTCACAAAAACAACTGACCCAACAGTTAACAAAACCTCGCATTAAAATCCAACACTAAAACGAGAGTAATTCCAACATAATTAAAAGGGGACGAGACGAATAACATACCTGGTCATCACAAATAAAATGACAGTCAACATCCTGATGTATGAGAACTACCAAAATATAATAACAATCAACATTAATAGGGGGCACAAGAGATTGATAGTGCTTTGGTTTTCTTATCTCAAATAGGATCTAATGGAATAATAATAAAAAAAAAAAGTTGGATGGAATAAAACTCTTAGAAAGTTGATTTATCAAAAAAGTTCCATTTATTCTATTATATAAGTAAAAATGTTTTTTAATCTTTAAGCTTCAAATTTGAACTCTATTTTTATGATTTTTGAATTTAAAATTTATAAAATGACACATCATCATTGCTTCTTTCATTTAATGTTTTGATTGAATCCTTTATTAATATGGAAAAACTTTTAAATATATTAATTTATGAACTATTTATGAAATCTATTATAGATATATTCTATATCTATACTTTTAAATTTCAAAAAAACTTATATAGAAAGTCAAAAATAAATTTTAGTCATGTTTTCATCAATATTTAAGTCACATTTAATTTGAAATTTAAAAATATTTATAAGAAAATTTTAAGTGTAATTTTAATCGTATATAATTTGAAATTTTGAACATATTTGCTTCATTATTTTTTTTTTTGAAAAAGAAAATGTACATGTAATGTAAAACAATTGACCTATTTAGCCATATCTAAATTTGAACTAAAAAAAGAAAAGAAAAGAAATTGCAGATAAAATTTCAAAACAAGAATTTTAACTATATTTAAGCTATATCTAATATTTTCCTAATACACTTATTGAAATGAATATAAAATTTAAATATTTTATTTTATTCTATTTTTTAGGCCACATCATGTTAACCCCTAAAACTGGACCTACGCACAACAATCAAAACCCACTACTACCACGATGACAAGTTCCTTTAGGCTTGGTTTGGGGGTGCGTTAATGTTTTGACTTTTTAATTTTTTTTAATTGTTTTAATATGAGGTTAAAAAATTTAATTTAGAAAGAATTTTTAATTTTTTTTGAGAGAAAGAATGTAATAATTATAGATTAGACGTGATATTTTATCTTATTAAAACTAAAAAAATTATTTTATTTTTTATGACTATTTTAGCCTTAAACCACCTAAACCCACTTCCCAAACAATAGCTTAATAACTAAAATCTATCACAACAACTAAAATATGTATAAAAAAATTTAAATATTTTCAATAAAATATAAAAAAAATAAAGAGAAATAAAGAACAGGAGGAGCGACAAAAACAATTATCAAAATCCACTACTACCAGCATGATAACTTCTTTCTACAATTAAAATCTACCACAATAGTCAAATTGCATACAAAATTTTAAACATTTTTAATAAAAAAAAAGAAGAAGAGAAATAGAGAACACATGAAAGAGATGAGAGAACAAAATAATAATAATAATAATAATAATAATATTGTTACGTCACTTGACAAATTCTGATAGGATTAATTATAATTACGAAAATTTCATAGACAAAATGTAATTATGCTTCATGAAAAATATATTTTTTTTGTAATTTATGCAAATGTATTTGCTTTAATTTCTCCAATTGAGTTATAATACATGTATTTCTTATATAATATTTAGAACAAAACATCAATAGTACCAAAAAAAAAAAAAAAAAAAAAAATTAATTCATTTTAGTGCAACTCCAATAAAAATAGTTAAAACTTACTTAATCATATCCACATTTTATTTTTTAATTATTTTAATTAATTTAAAAATAAAATTTTGAATCATTAATTAAAACCGTGCATCACACGGGTTTTACGCTAATTTACTTATAGATAACTCATACATTAAAATTTTCTTATATTTTTTTTACACGAAATTAAAAATTAATTACAGTATTAATATGGATTATATAAGATTTTTTTTTTTATTTCTTTCTAATTTCTACTACTTTTAAGCTAAACAAACTCATAAATATTTTTTTCCCTCTTTTCTTCGCTTTCTATCAATTTCATCCTAAACAAACAAGGAAAAAAATTAGAGGAAAACATGAACAAAAATATTAGAGACTCTAAAAATTCTACCAAATATTTTACCAAACACACATATAAAACATTTAATAAAAATAATTTTTAAACTCTCAAAACATGAAACTCCCCTCGCCCCTAAACATATCCTTTCCCCATTAGGTGGGGGGCGTTAATCTTTGTTTTGAAATATCTGACATGGTATCTACGTGTCATGCACATCAACACTTGAAACCAAATAAGAAGAAGAATACAAAAGATAGAGCTTTCCGACTTCTCTATTTATAGCTGTCATCCATAGCCATGAACATCTCTGTCTCTCTCTAAACTTTCTCTCTTAGTCCATTCTTATTTTCTTGAGAGGGTTTGGAAGAAACGAAAAAGGAAGGAAAGCATGGAAAACCCATTGCACTTGAAGTCACTGAATCACATATCGGTTGTTTGTAGATCTGTTGATAAATCTCTTGATTTTTATCAGAATGTTCTTGGGTTTTTCCCTATCAGGAGGCCTAATTCCTTTGACTTTGATGGAGCTTGGTATGCTACGTCAAATTTTTAAGTCTGTCTTATTATTATTATTATTATTATTAAAACTGTTCAAAAACATAATAACCCTTTGATCTTTTGTGATTGTTTTCATTGTTTTGAATATGTAATTGTGTGTGTGTATGTAGGTTATTCAATTATGGTATTGGGATACATCTTTTGCAATCTGAAGACCCTGAAAACATGCCCAAGATTTGTCAGATTAATCCCAAAGATAATCATATTTCTTTCCAAGTACTCTCTCTCTCTCTCAATAAAACTACATACATGTGTGAACAGGGATAGATAGGGGGGCGGCTGTGCAACTCTCTCAACTTTCGAAAATTCTCTTATAATTGAGTAATAATTAAGAATTTTTTTAAATTACTAAGTTTTTCCCTGTTTTTATTTTTTATTTTTTATTATATATATTAAATTTTAGTACTTGTTTTCATATTTTTTCCCCTAAAAATGTAAAATAAAAATAATAGAAAAGATAGTATATGTCTATTTGAAAAAATTTACAAACATAGACATAAACCTCTTATATGAGATGGGTTTAGTTTTTTTTTTTTTTTTGGAACTATACTTATATGAGAATGTTATATCTGATTTTATAATTAATTTCTGTGTAAATGAAATTTTTTTTAATCATTCCGTGTGCGAGTAAAATAATTGTACCTATTTACATACTCAAATGCGTCGTCATAGAAAGTGTGTGTGTGCGTGCTTCACAAACATGTGTGTTGAGTGTGTAAAGTAAATGAGTATGATTGTAATATGAAAGTAGAATTATGCATCCTTCTCTGTTTTCTCTCACACATTCTTAAGTTCATGCATATTATGTATTACAAGAACAAGTTTTGTTTTGTTTTGATTTAGTTTTTGTTTTTTTTTTAATTTTTTTATTAGTATTTATCAAATCTAGTGGTTTGAAATTGTATTTCATGAAGGGATGAGCTGTCTGAACTGGACGTCCAGCCCGATCTTCGGATGGTTATCACGTCAATATTTTATTTACATACATACAAACTCAATATTAGATTTAAGTATAAAATCTGATTTGTCGATAAAAAAAAAAAAAAGAGTATAAAATCTGATATTTAATAGATTAATGAGTAAACAAATTTTATACATCATTGATTTATAAAAAATATTGAGATGATGCAATTTAAACGCCCTACAACACCCTCTAGTTTCGCAAGCCATTTGAACTCATGTAATTTTTAATTGGAAAAAGATCCGGACCCCTTTTCCCCCACTCGCTTGACCCCCCTCTCTCTGATTGGTCAGATTATTATTATTTTTTTTATTTTTTTCTTCTCCTCCAATCACCACCTACCACGTGTGTATGGGGTTTTTAATTTTTTTTTTTAAACTCGAAAATAGTGCTTTTTAAAACATTTCATGTGTAAAATAAAAAATAAAAAATAAACTTCATAAAAATAGTAGAATTTGGGAAATAAATTGAAAACTACTCTATATATGAAATAAGATTTTAAATCACATGAACTTGGAAAAAAATGTAAAAAACTCAATAAATATATGTTATGTTTGGAATGGGGAAAAAAAAAAAACTCAATAAATATACAAGTTTAAAAATACTACCTCAAAATGTGTTAAATGGGGTTTTCGAAACATGACTTCACATATTGATGAAATTACTTAACTTTGGAAAATAAATTAAAATATTTTACATCAGGTGGGTTTGGCACAGTAAAAAAAAAACACTTATGTATATATTATGTTTGAAATGATAAAATTGACTTTGGTGTACAGTGTGAGAGCATGGGAGCAGTGGAGAAAAAACTGAAGGAGATGGAAATAGAGTACTTGAAGAACAGGGTAGAGGAGGGTGGAATCTACGTTGATCAACTATTCTTCCATGATCCCGACGGCTCGATGATTGAAATTTGCAACTGTGACAACCTTCCTGTGGTGCCACTGGCCAGAGACACCGTCCGATCGTGCTCTAGCATCAGTTGCAGTGTGCAACAGCAGCAAATTAGACAAGTTGTATAGAGATCAATGGCATCTCTACCGTTCATTGGCATGAATATGAAGAGTATTTTCCCTATCTGATGATATAAATTGACGGTTTAGATCAAATTATTAAGTGTTTTGAGTATGTGCATGTGTTGTGTGTTTTTCATTTGCACAAGAAGGTTGAAATGAAAAAAAGGGCCAAGTGGTAAATTTCCCAAATTGAATGATACCTTTCTTGATCTGTTTTGTTTTGTTTCTTGTTTTCTTTGGTTTTTTTGTCAATATGTGTTTTCGTAAACTTTTTATCATGTTAAGGGGTGTTTGAAAATTGATCATTTTAATAAATTTTTGACTTTAAAAAAAAAATTGTATAAAAAAATAAAAAAGATAATTTGACAACTTATAATATATATATGAAAAATGCCTTATACCCCCACTGGGGGTCGACCCCCAGTGAGGTGGAGGCCGTGAGAGGTTTGGTAAAATATTTAGTAGAATATTTGGGATACATAACATTTCTTTATGTGAAATCAATGTTATTGCAGGATCACAAGTAAAGTTAAACCATGGTATTTAACTTAGTGGCTTTGTGGTGTGAAATCTCGAGTTTATATATTTTTCAAACAAAAATCTCACTTTCCCAACGAAGGCCTAAGCTTTGAGTTGGATTATTGTATTCAAATGTTTTATTTTATTTTAATACATTTTTAATTATTAAATTATGTGAATCATGTGAATTTTGACACATAATTTAATAATTAAAAATGTATAAAAAATTAGAAATATTTATTAATAAATCCCATCTTACAAACAAGTACTCTAATTAGTCTTAATTTTTTTTTATTGATCTGTTAAGTCCTATTAGTAGAAAGTTTCTTTCGGCATGGTCTTATTTTTTATTTTGGTAATATTTTGGTAGACAGTTATACTTTTTTATTAATGTGACAGGTATTAATGACACTCCAAAAAAATTTAAAACTCTTTAGTGTACTTTTTCTAAATGTGACAATGTTGACATATATGATGTGACACTTTAAAACTTTTACTCTAAAAAAATAATAATTTCTTAGTATACTTTTTTTCAAATATAACAACGTGGTAGGTATGATGTGACACTTAAAAAAAATAAAAATTTCTTAGTATACTTTTCTCAAACGTGACAACGTGGCAGGTATGATGTGACACTCTAAAAAAAATTAAAAACTCCTTAGTTTACTTTTCACAAACTTGACATATGACACTCTAACGTGACAGATATGATATGATACTCTAAAAAAATTAAAAACTTTTTAGTATATTTTTTTTTCCAAATGTGACACTCTAACGTAGCGGGTATGATGTGATACTAAAAAACTCTTTAGTGTACTTTTTTTAAATGTGACACTTCAATGTGACTGGTAAATGAGTCATTACACATCAAAAAAAGACTAAATAGATCACAAGAAAAAATATGAGACTATATGAATTATAAATCCAAAATATCAAACTTAATGGGCAACCTCCCAAAAAACTAAATAAAAGATTAGAAATAGAGAATACTTTGTAACTACTGCATACATGAGATAACTAATATATAACAATTTGGCTACTCAATAAATAAACAAAAATATTTGCAAATCGAAATTTTATACATAAAAAAGTATGTGTACACTCAAAATGAATTTAAGTTATAATTCAAAAAAGTAAACTCTAATACTATTGTATGCTAAGAGTTGATTTTGAACGATCTAATAAAAGATTTTATAACTGTTTAAACTCAACTCAATTCAAACATTAAGCCTAAATGATTATTTCAAGTCTCATCAAAAAGAAAATAGAATTATAGAGTTCATAAATTTTCATTATATTTCACAAATAAATAATATAAAATATGAAATAACTCTGTTAGTTTTGGCACATGATACAAATCTAAATCCTAAGCCCAACTCAAAAGTTAAATAGGTTTAAAATATTTGTCTAACCTGAGCCCTCGAACCAAAATATCATTCCCAAATCCTAAAGGGTTGAACTGAGTGGATTAGTGGGATGGTGTCCACCCCAACCACAGCTATGTTTGAAACATATGCCTTACATTATGAGAGTTGTATCTGATTATTTTTTTCTTTACAAATTATTTGATCTTGTTGTAATTCTTTTTGTATTTGTAATTAATTTTTACTGATTGCCAAAAAATAAAAAATAAAAAAAATTGAAGATGCAATGGACTCATTTTGCATCATGCCCATCTAAGTAACCCCTATTTCCCAAACTATTAAATGAATGTGAAATTAAAGTTGTTGCATCATGGCCCATCTAAGCAACCCCAATTCCCAAACTATTCAAATTAATGTGAAAGAGTTATGTTAGAAATTTTAAATATTGTACTAAATATTTTACCGAATCTCTTACATGGGTGTGAGACCCACACAGATGTGGATTTGTGTGAGTCTCACCACATGTGAGAGGTTTGGTAAAATATTTAGTAGAATATTTGGGATACATAACATTTCTTTATGTGAAATCAATGTTATTGCAGGATCACAAGTAAAGTTAAACCATGGTATTTAACTTAGTGGCTTTGTGGTGTGAAATCTCGAGTTTAACTATTTATAAAGAAGAGTTTGATATCTTTTGTGGCGGTATTTATTTCTCTCTTATTATGAAGTTGTATGCAAATAGTAATCAAGTCGCATGTAAAATTATTGAACTCGTGATTTATCATCTTATTTCTTATAAATATAAAATTTTACAATTTTTAATCTGATCTTATAACTTGATTAATTAGACCCTCTCGTTTCTCACACATAAGATCCTAATTTACACAACATAAATGATATAGACTTCCCACAAACACCCCACTCTGCGACTCCCATGCACACGTGTATAGGAAAAAAAACAAAAACTAAAAACAAGACAAAAATACATATGACCAATCACAATCATTTGAGGATCATGAATCTCTCAAAATGGAGGTCCCAAGTATTTTCCTTTACACAACCATTGTATATATTCACCCGACTTGAAGAGCCATAATCTCGCTCACATAATGGATTCATACATAATTGGCCAGAATCCATGCACACTACCCTTGGCCACCAATAGATTTAAAAAAAAAGAAAAAAAAAAATTTGTACTTGGATAAGTTTGAATAAGTTAAAGAATTGTTTAGATTTACCCTCAATTGTTCAAAGCCAACTTTCAACTTGACTTTGTTTGCCCTCACAATTTCAAAAATAAGTTTAAAACTCTAAAAAAATATTTAGCTAAATTTTAAATTTTTTAATTGAACTAATCCTTATTGCTCGTTATTGCACCCAAACAATGACAACGGCAACAATGATGAGCGCACCCACGGATGAAGGCGGTGGGAGAGAGACTATGGGTCAGTGTGTGCTGGCTGTCCATTAGGAGACAAACATACCCTATCACTTAAATACTTTAATAATCACAAGAACCCATCATTAATTGAATGAAGGACAAAAATATGTTCAAGAATAAATTTTTGTAGCTCGAAATTTATTTATCCCGAATGACCAACTGCCCAAGTTTTGGGATAGATTTTTTTTTTTCCTTTTTTTTTTTCTTTCTTTTCCTCTTATATCTCTGAAACAGACAGACGAGGGACGAAGAGAGAGAAGAGAGAGAGAAAGAGAGAGAAGAGGGAGGGAGAAGACAAAGAGTGCACCCATCACCGGCGCCATCCTCTCTTTCCCCTGTTAGCTCAACCCAACCATCGTCTCTTTCTCCCTCTTTCTCTCCCTAAAAATACCATCTTTCTCTCTCTAAAACCCATACTCTTCCTTCCTTTCTCTCTCTCTAAAATGCCCATCTTTCTTATATCTCCAAAACACATTATTCTCTCTCTCTCTCTGCTGTGTGGAAGGAGCATCAAGATTACCAACATTAAACCACTAAAATCCAGTTGAATTCTAGAAATTAAAAAAAAAAAAAACCCATTTGATTTTTCTGTACAGAGCAAGAACAACAATGTGTTGATGATGATGATGATGATGATGAGTTATTGATGATGATGATGATGATGCACCGCCATCATCGGCGCCATCCTCTCTTTCCCCTGTTAGCTTAACCCAACCATCCTCTCTTTCTCCCTCTTTCTCTCTCTAAAAATGCCATCCTTCTCTCTCTAAAACCCATACTCTTTCTTTCTTTACCTCTCTCTCTAAAAGGTCCATCTTTCTTTTATCTCTAGAACACATAATTCTCTCTCCCTCTTCTGTGTGGAAGGAGCATCAAGATTACCAACGTTAAACCATTGAAACCCAGTTGAATTCAAGAAATTAAAAAAAAAAAAACGCATTTGATTTTTTCGTATAGAGCAAGAACAGAGATGTGTTGATGATGATGATGATGTGTGGTCTGATTGAAAAAATTTTTTGATTTTGATTTCAGTTTGGTGCTTGTGAACATAAAAAGAAGAAGAAGGAGAAGAAACAGATGATAAAAGAGAAAGAAAGAAGAAAAAATAATAAAAATAAAGCCAAAACGACATCGTTATGGATTCGAGTCATTTCGGACCAAATGCTTTTGGAGCTACGTAGCAGCTCTTCACATTCAATTACAAATTTCCCTAAACAATACATATTATCCATGATCAAAGTCCAAGACACATGGCTTGATCCTTAAACTATTCTTACCCAGTTTCCAATAATATTTGTTTTAGGAAAATGGTAATGATGATCCAAAAGCCTATGATTAATTTTGATACACATCTAAAGAGTATATTAAATGTATAAATTTTGTTGAGAGTCGCTATTCTCACTCCACTTTATTCTAAATGTGTTTTTTTCTTTATTCTTATTATACATAATTATATTAATATCAAAGTTTTGAATTTTTTAGGAAGTATATTTTTTGTGAAACGGTATTAATGTAACTATATATAATAAAGACAAAGAATTGAGTGTATTTGAAGTAGAGCAGAGTGAGAATAGTGGCTCCTATTTTATTATTTTTATTTTTTTATGTAAAAATATTTTGAAATGCATAAAAAATATTTTAAGATTTTATTTTTGTTATTTTTTTTCTCCTTATTGATAATCTCTTGGGCCAATAGAAAAATGTTATTGTTTCAAAAAAATTATATAAAAATGAAATTCTTGATTATGATGTATTGTTATTTTAAAATAATAGGACAGCAACTCCATCACATTATTTAATATATATTTTCTATTTGTATATATTACTTATTGTCATTAACTTAACTGTATTGTACTCATAATACATCAAAAGAGAATTAAAATAAATAATTTTT